CTATTTGCAGGGCAACGTCACCTTGCAAGTCCTAGATGGGTGGAGAGCAAGAGTCTGTGGTTGGGGAAGGTGCGTGCTGCAATCAAGCACTGTGCACAGATTTGCTGCGCTGCGGTGCGCCCCGTCCTCGGAAAGCAAAGAGCCCTCCCTCACATTCAGGGAAAAATCCAGTTCAAGAACGTTGCAGGTAAAAGCCCAGCTTGGAAATACAGCATGAAATTAAAGTTCAGAAAGGATGAATTGAAGAGCAGCTCAAACGCTCTGCCTGGGTAAGAACTGGTAGAGAAGATAGAAAAACGGTATCCGGGACGGGAAGTTGAAAGCAGGATCGATCAATCGATCGATTATATGCCATCACATAATCACATCAGTGCCAATTCTTATCAACCACATAGTCCTTCTCCAGGATGATGAAAGCTGCTTTAAGACATGTGGAGTTCAACTCCCAGAATTCTTAGCAATGGCCCCGCTGGCTGGGAATTCTGGGAGTTGAAATTGATGCCTCTCACAGTTCCCCAGGTTGGGAAACCCTGGCCGAGCCCACCCACCCTCCGTTTTGCCACCCTTGCCAGTTCCTCTAATTAGTGGCCTCTAGATTTGGGGGGGGGGCAATAATAATCTACCCTGTCCTTAAAGTGGTTCTGCTGTAATATATATTTCAGACCCATAAGGAAAGGGTAGAATAGGCTGTTCCCCACGCCGGACTCCAACTCCCAGAATGCCGAGCCGGCCGGGCTTTTGTGCATCTGAATGCGGATTGGTCCTTTCCGCTGTTCAAAAGGTGGGCCCAGCAGAGCTTAGTTTTGATTGGGCGAGGCGGCTGCCGCTCCACGAGCCACCCGGAAGTGGGTTGGTTGGAGCGAGCATGGAGGCGAGTGCTGGGACGGAGCGCTGCGGGGGACGGAGGGAGCTCAGGCTCCTGGGGCGGCGGGGAAAAGGGGGTCTCGCCAGGCCTCCCCTCCGGCCTGCAAGCCTAACCCCAGCCCGTTTTTTACAGGACCCTTGGAGCTGCGTGGCAGGCAGCAATTCAACAGGTGCTGCCTATGGCACCTGGCTTTATGGAATCAAAGGGTTTCTTGGCAAGGGTTCTGCAGGCTGTCCGGGCTGGCTTGCAAACGGATCGAAAGGGCCTTTCCCTGCCAGATTCAGGGAAGAGAGAGCTGGAGCTGCGGGCTAGCCTGCCATGAACGCCCCGTTGTCTTTTCCCAGGCAAGAAGCGGCGGCCCACCTGTCCCGGCCGCGCCCGGCAGCCTCTGCTAGTCGAGAAGAAAGCCGGGGCGCTGGGGATGGCCGGCCCTTGCTCCGAGATGTCCGAGGCGTGGGCGGTGGAGCCCTTTCGGGTAGCCCAGGTACTCTCCCAGGAAGGGCGGCTTTTGCTGTCGGAGGAGCGCAGGATCAGTGAATGCACGAGCCGCCCTCTTTCCCACCCGCTGGGCTCTTCCGGGGTTGGCTTCCCCCGGCTTGCTAACCAGAATCGCTTGGGTTCCTGCCTGGCGCTGAGACATCAAGAGCGGGATGCAAGCTAGCTTTGTATCAACAGCTCAGACAGTGTATGAAATGGCCAGCTGGCCGAGAAATGAAGGTCTGTGGCGTCTCTTGCACCCGCACCCTCTTAATGGACAGAAATTGGGGCTGAATGAGAGGGGGAAGCCGGACGCTGCCGCCCTAGACCCCCGCCGCAAAGTTGACCCAAACTGTCTCTGACTGGCGTGGCTGTAACCTTAAATCACGTGACCACAGGCAAAATAAACCAGACGTCACACAATGTCATCGCCAGGGATGTAAAGCAGTACTTGTTGTATTGTGGGTGGACAGGGAGGGTGGGGTATTTTGGAAGTGCTGCAAAATGTTTGGATATTTTGCAAAACTGTCCATGTTTGGATAGCTCCACGGCTGAGCTGGGCCCAACAGAGCAGGCCACGGCCGAGATCAAGGCTTTATACTTGCTTCATCTCTTTTCTATTTACAGTCTCCACCAGCGGCCTATTACATTCCAGATTTCATCAGTGAAGCAGAGGAGCAATGCCTTTTGCAACAAGTATGTGTGTGTGTTCTAATCTTCTAGTGGCGCAAGAACCGTCTACAGCAGTGTTGTCCAAACTTGGCCACTTTAAGATGAGTGAATAGTTGCATGTCTTTATCTAGTTTAAAAGTTTATAACTGATTAATCTAACACAGTGTTGTCCAAACTTGGCCACTTTAAGATGAGTGAATAGTTGCATGTCTTTATCTAGTTTAAAAGTTTATAACTGATTAATCTAACACAGTGTTGTCCAAACTTGGCCACTTTAAGATGAGTGAATAGTTGCATGTCTTTATCT